AGTCAATAAGACTGTGGAGAATCAGTCAGAGTCCCAAAAAGGTAACAAAAAAGAGAACACAAACAAACAAACCCAAGCCTCTTAAAGTGAGCAGTTTACAGACCCTGAGATCTACCATCAAATCTGCCTCCGCAATCTGTTGCACCACAGTGGTGCACGAGGGCGGAGTGCACACAAACACACACCGAATCCATCCACACAACAGCGGATGAGGATGATTTGTTTAGGGATCACACTGTCGTCCCACACAGACACCACGCTCTGTGTGTGTGTGTGCGTGTGTGTGTGTGTGACACCACAGTGCAGGGAACACAGACTCTGGAGCTCTTTAATAACTGGGATTCTATGTGAATGTGCAGATTAGAGGAGAGAAAAGACGCCCTTAAATAAAGTCGCCCTGCAGTCTAATTCCAGGCCTCTGTGAGTTATTTCCACAGTGTTCTTTTACACTGTACACACTGTGGTTACAGGCTGTTTCTCTCTCTCACACACACACACACACACTCAGTTCAGACTTTTATAATGGTGAGAACCACCTTATAAAAAGTCATGTTTTATCAAGATGTACAAACTAAGTCCTGTAGGTACGACTTAACTGAATGTCCTTAAAACTCTGATGGTTTTAGATGAACACAAATACACACACACGCCCAATTTTCCCAGATCTCATCTGGCCACAGTCAATTTCAACTAACACAATCTCTCTCCTGTAATTAGACGGTTTATCTAAGCAGACGTCAGGCCTGGACCAGACTCCCAGAAGCCTCGCACTTTCTCACTGCAGGAACCGCTAATAAAAAAAAGACCAGGGTCTGGGCAGTTAATACAGTTAATACAGTCATTTCCAATAATACTGACAGTTCACCTCTAACCCAGCAGATGGCACTAATTCAAAACTTGATGCAGTGACAGTGAAAGGTCAGAACCTGGATGTTCTCCTGCGTCCATCAGTCCAGATGACTTTTTAGAGCCATGTCAAAGCATAAAAGTCACATAATAACAACATGTCAGCGATGGCTTAAATTGATCGAGATTGTCCATAAAATTTTAAAATGCCTGAGGTTTTTGATGATCGCAAACACTAACACTATTACTATTTGGAACAAAATTAGTCCAAGTGCTTTGATCTGATTCTTGTTCCTTCTCCTTAAAAAGCACAGAGACGGGAATCAAACGTCTGACCTTCCAGTTGGTGGACAGCCTGATATACCTCAGGGGACTGATTTATAAAATATTACATTTCTTCTTAATTCACGAGTCAGGAGTTAAAAAGGTCAGATAACGTGAGCTGAGAAAGTGCCGCCGCCGCCTCACTGCACGCCACAACGTTAATGTCAATTTAACAACAAGACAAACTGCACATTAACGACCTTTGGAACCGACGGTGTGTTTTGTGTGTTTTCCTCCACGGTGTCGGCGTCGCCTCTCATTTTTCTGCCATGTTTTGACCTTCTTCGCTGCTCGTGGATTTTTTTCACACCTCCCCTGCAACATCTCACTTTCGCCTACCTCCTTCCTCACACTTGAGGACAGCACACTGCACACACATAACGTGGACACACAAACACACACACATTTACGCAACATCAGGGTAACCATGGCGATGGTGAGCGAGGTTTCTCTGGTTTCCGGAGAGGGCGTAGCTCTTCGAACCCTTCTTTTGTGTCACTTCAAAGACAAGGCCAGACGGGCAGCACGCAGACGTCACTGTGACTTCTACACTAAGGCTGTGTGTGTGTGTGTGTCTAAAGTGACTGTACACAAGTGTGTGTGTGTGGGTTTTTGTGTCATTGGCCGAGCTACTAGGCC